ATCATTTCTCTTGTTTCAATTCCCCCAAGTCACTCAGAATTAAATCAAAGTTCCTTGCAATGTCCTACAAGCCATGCCGTGGTCTGATTCCTGCCCTCCTCTCTAATCTTATCCTCCAAACTACTTTTGTGCTCTGACGAACCCAGTACATTCACCTTCTTTCTGTATTGAACCCTCAAACACTTAACACCTCAAGACTTTTAGCTCTTGAATCCTCTGCCTGGGATGCTGTTTCCTTAGACCTTGGAATTAACTGCTGGCGTTTTCCGTCACACGGTTCTCATCTCGCATGTCATGGCCTTGGAGCGGCTTTCACTGACTCTTTGTCTCAACTCTGGGTGGTCTACTGCTGTCCTTTTCTAGCCTACCCTCTGTCTTGTCTTCAGTGCCCTAATCTCTTTTTGAATTTTTGGGGTGCATTTATTTCTTTTCTTTTTGATAATGCCCTCCTAGTTCATGGGCTCTATGAGAGCAGTGATCTTTTCCTTTTTTTATCTCCAGTGTTAGGCACACAGTAGGCACTTAATATGTTTTTCTTGTCTTGTTTTTCTCGTCTAAGTGAATGTGGCTGTGTCTGCCTACTGACCTCCTGAGGGAAGTCATCTGAGTGTGACCACTTGCTGAGCTATCATCTCTTTTGCTCCCTGAGGTCCTTGTGCTGCCCCTTGTCCTAGCATTTTTCATAGCACACTGTGACAGTGGCATATTTACTTCAGTTTCTGTCCATCATTCAGGGGTGATTTGAGACTCATTACTCTGTATCTCAGTGTCTCCAGCACTTAACACACAGAAGTCAGTAAGTAGTTGTTAAAAAATCCATGTGTTGATCAAATTCTCAGATCCTTCTTTTACCTCCCCACATCTCCCTGCTGCAGGCTACATGCAGAGCCGCTCTGATGAGCATGGGGCTCTGCAGGGTACCTAGAACAAGCTTTGATCTAGACCTCTGTGGAACTCTGAGTGGTTCTGACCCCTCGGGAAGTGGAGGGACAGATACCCAAGCCCCATTGCCAGAGCCAACTTGAGTGAAGTGAGAGGGGCTTGGAGCCTCATTTTTTTTTTTTAAGATTTATTTATTTTTGCATACAGAACTGGGGTACAGGCCAGAGGCTCAGGGGCGGTGAGAGGCTTCACCATAGGCAGAGCGGGGAACAGAACAGGCAGATCGACGAAGTACACTGCTGAGGGGAGCAGCGGGCGGGTCAGGAGAGGTCTGCCACGCCATGTGGTCACCTCCGGGGCAGGCGGGAATCGAACTCATGTGGAAGCGGCTTTAGATTCTCAGTGCTGTGCTTTAACCCGCTGCGCCACCAGGGAGGGCCGGAGCCTCATTTTGATTTATTGAATTAGAAATTACTTTTTCCAGTTTTCAGTTTGCATCTTAGATGTTCTAAAAAAATATGGTCAAAGCCCTTTAAGGCTTTGTGTGCCTCTCAAATCCAAGCAAATGAGGGGGACAGGGGTTGTAGATTAGCTCTTGTAGGGCTGGTGTGGGGGTACCCCTTCCATGGAGGGTCAGGGAAATTCCTCTCTGGGAACCAATGATGAGCTCCGACCGTCCTTGCCCACTATAGCCTTGCTCCATTGCCTGCCTCCCTCTTTGGGCCTGGAAGTAGGAGCCAGAGACTCCCAGGTATTTCTGGGCTTCCCTCCAAGGACATTCTCTTCCAGATGTTCCCACAGAAGCTGGTGCTGGCACCAGAGGTTTCTCTCTACAGCTCTAGGCAAAACATGTGTGTATGTTCCATAGCAGTCTGTGTGTCTAGCCCAGATAATGGCAGTGGCTACCAATTTCCACTGAATCTCTTTTGTTTCCCTTCCCCACTGAATGTAAGTAGGGAGAGCTGGTCAGGTGAGTCCTGGAGGCTTTCTGGACTTATGGGTCCTCAAATTTTGTATTCCTTAGAGACTAACTTTGAAATAGTCTTTGTGAAGAAGGACAGGGCAATTGGTTGGCTTATGAAGAGGACCTCTGACTGCGCTTTGGTTTTCTCTTGGGCCATGGATCTGACTCACCAAGCCCTTCTTATTTCCTCCTACCTCATGAGTAGATCTTATAAGCCTCAGAAGATGCAGCTTGATTAAAGGTGCTATAAAATTGGGACAGTTGTACAAGTTTTGGACTTAGATAGTCCAGGTTCAACTTCTGCTTTACCAGTTACAATGGGCCTGAGTTTTCTTACATATGATGTAGAGAAGATGCATAGAAGTTTTATTAAGCAGAGATAATTTTGGGTTAGAAATAATCTTTCCCCAATTCTCTAAGAAACTTCCCTAGGACTTGTGACTTTTTTTCAGAGAAAATTGAAAGCACAGGGCTATTTCCTGGTATTAGAGCAGCTCTTTAAGAAAGCACAAAAGAAGGCTAAACCTTGTTTACTTTTCCTCAATTGTATCTTATTTTCAAAAAGAGCAAATTGATCCCATTTCCTTTTTGGTTTCGAATGTTCTAATTACTAATGGCTGGGCCACTCAAACTCTGTGCCACCCTGCCCTTGTCCAGCCTCCTAAAGGGAATGTGGGGCTGCTTCAGAGCCAGCAGTTTGAAGTGCAACACTCAGTTCTGCCCACTGGCCCCCTTTCTATCCTTTAATTGTTCTCTTGCTGCAAACTTCTGAGGTCCAACCTGATATTTTATCCCCAGGACAGCTGTCTGCTTTCTGCAGCTGAGCCTATTCCCTTCCAGGTCAGTTGACTCTTCCTCTCCTTGATTTCTAGTTTCTCAATATGGTGCTGTGTCTGTGCCATTATTAGAGACTGGCTGCCAATGGGTAGGTGTATGAGTGTGTGTGTGAGGTGAAGCGACAAGCTGACAAATGGGTGGGGGGAGGAATGAAAGATTTTTGAAAACTTCAGACACCTTCAGAAAACTTGTTCTTCATTTTTATGGAAACATGAAAAAATGCTTTGTAAACTATGATGAAGTTTTTACAATGTCATTTGAAAGTCCTTAGTTCATATACTTCTGCAACAACATTGTGATCTTGTCATTATCCTCTGATTCTCTTGTCATTATCCTCTGATTTATTTAGAGCCAGGGCCTTTCTTCTAAACCCTAGCTCTCTGCTCACCACCTCACTCTATTCTCAGAGAGATAGGGTTGACAGTGTTGATTCATCATTTTTACCAAAGTGTTTCCAAAGGAAATACATTTTAATTTGGGAATTGTCATTTTCTACCATACCTGTCCATATGAAATTTCAGGGTAATTTGATCATTGATCCTCTGGGTCATCAGAGCCTTCTTGGCAGTGTTTGCAGTCAGAAATCCTAGGTGGCTCCCTCTCTTGGGCATAAATTCTGCTGCTGGTTTGCTCTGTTCATTTAGAACCACTGCCCCACTCCCTGTGCCTCCTTGCATGCCTGCTGGCAACCTGGATAAACAAGGCCTTTTCTGTTTGACTCAAAGATTCTTGCTCTGATACGAAGACCATCTTGCACTTGCCTTTCAAGCATTCTTCCCCTCTTCTCAAAAGTCTTCAGAGTTTAAACAACCGGCAGTCCTCCCTTGCTGTGCTCTTTTCATTAGAGACCATTGAGAGATTCTCCTTTTCATAAAACTCATTTTCATTTTCAATAAACATTTGCTAAACACCAATCAATACATATGTCAGGGCTCCTGCCATTCAGGAATTCATAATTCGGGGGAACAAATAGAGCAATAATTATAATTCAAGACTATAAAGGCATAACAGAGACTTAAGCAAAGTTCTTTGAGAACACAGTAGAGCAGAAAACATTTAATTACACCCCAGGAAAAGAGGCCTAGGAAAAAGCTCAGGACTGAAACAGTGAACCAGGATGTGAAAAGTGTGTAAGATTTTGCTCAGTGGGAAGCACTGAGGGGGGACTGAATGGATCTTGACAAAGGGGACAGGTTGCAGAAAAGGAAAAGGATGAACGCTCTACGAGCAGAGCAGCGTGGCTCAGCACCCTCTGTCAGAGGCTTCCACCAGGCTGCTGCAGGTTGACGAGCAAGGAGGCAAGACAAAAATTCATTTGTCTCCTCATCTAGGTAGGGAAAGCAGTTTATCTTGGCTTCGGGAGGATGAGAACAACAGAGTTAAGTTTTGACTGAGGATTGGCTGTGAGGCAGGTAGATTGGTAGAAATGTAGGTTTGGCTGAAACTCATGGACTGTCATAGGGTGGACGAGACACAGAAGAATATAAAGAGCTTCCCCCCCCTCCCCCGATAAATGAAACTTTAACCTTCTGTTGGTGGGTCTCCTGCCTCTGGGTAACTCCATTCCTCAGTTTTGGCTGAAAACAAGGTTACTTTAGTCTGTGCCTGCTCAGGCTGAGTCTTATGCTGATAAATTCCAGACTTTGTTGTTTATAAAAGCAAACCTCAAAAAGAAGTTTTAAATTTTATTTTCTTTCATGCACTTGAGTTTGAGAATAATTTAAGCCTTTAACCTTGGCAGGATTTCCATATGGTTAGAGCATAGAGGTCATGGTGAGGAGAGGTGAGAGAGAAACGAGGTCACATGCTGAAAGACATTTTGCCATTTTGTAATAACTTAGTCTTTATTCTAGAATTAATTTGGAGCTTTCAAAGGCATTTAAAAAAATAATAGTGACCTGATTTCATTAGAAGATCTGGGTACTGTAGAGGTGAAAGACAGGATAGAAGTGATGGGAGTTTTTGTTTTTTAAACCTAATGTGTACTCAGTAACTTATCTTTGGTGAACTAGATGATTTAAAATAAGCTTAGAATTTTTGCCTTAACATTTTACTTGTTTTCAGGATTTATTTTAGAGGTTGGGTTAATAAGTAGAACTGGGTGAATGTTCATTGGAATTACAAAGAATGGTTAGATTGAATTTAGGATAGAATCCCAGTTCAGAATGGAATCTGAGTTTAGACTAGGATCCGAGTTTAGATGAGCAATCACATTAGAATTTGGGTCAGAAAATAGGAAGTTAGGGTGTGTGGGGGGGAAGCATGGTATTGGAATTCTGGAGGATCTGACAAGGGCTTATGTTTGCATTCCAGCTTCCACCTGCCTGTCACTGGTTGTGCTCAGCTTCTTCACCATGGTGGGCCCCAATGACAACGGATCCAGTGCCACATATTTCATCTTAATAGGCCTCCCAGGCTTGGAAGAGGCTCAGTTTTGGTTGGCATTTCCGTTGTGCTCCCTCTACCTTATCGCTGTGCTAGGTAACTTGACAATTATCTACATTGTGCGGACTGAGCACAGCCTACATGAACCCATGTATATCTTCCTTTGCATGCTTTCTGGCCTTGACGTCCTCATCTCCACCTCATCCATGCCCAAAATGATGGCCATCTTCTGGTTCAACTCCACTACCATCCAGTTTGATGCATGTCTGCTACAGATGTTTGCCATCCACTCCTTATCTGGCATGGAGTCCACGGTACTGCTGGCCATGGCCTTTGACCGCTATGTGGCCATCTGTCACCCACTACACCATGCCACTGTGCTCACTTTGCCTCGTGTAACCAAGATTGGGATGGCTGCTGTGCTCCGAGGGGCTGCACTTATGGCACCCCTGCCTATATTCATCAAACGACTGCCTTTCTGCCGCTCCAATGTCCTTTCCCATTCATATTGCCTTCATCAAGATGTCATGAAGTTGGCTTGCGCTGACATCCGTGTCAATATCATCTATGGCCTCATTGTCATCATCTCTGCCATTGGCCTGGACTCACTGCTCATCTCTGTGTCATATCTGCTTATTCTCAAGACTGTGCTGGGATTGACCCGTGAAGCCCAGGCCAAGGCATTTGGCACGTGCGTCTCTCATGTATGTGCTGTTTTCATATTCTACGTTCCTTTCATTGGATTATCTATGGTGCACCGCTTTGGCAAGCGGCACGACTCCCTCTTGCCTGTCATCATGGCCAATGTCTATCTGCTTGTCCCTCCTGTGCTCAACCCTTTTGTGTATGGAGTGAAGACAAAGCAGATCCGGCAGCGCATCCTTCGTCTTTTCCAAGTGACCACCCACACTTCAGATCCGTAGGTGTCAGTAATTAGATTCCCTTTTCCTTCAAAGTCCCCCCATTCAGACTTCCATGTCAAAATTTTGAAAGACAATCATAGGAAAACTATCTTCCTTAATAAAAATACAACTGATCCTTCAAAGATGAAACTGTTACCAAAGTCTCCATGTGGGTAGGGGAAGCAGAAATGGTCTATTTCCAATTCCGATTTTTCAATATTTTTTTCTCTTTAGTTCTTCATACCATACACTATTGTTATTTTTTTAAGACTTATTTATTTATTCATACAGAACTGGGGTACAAGCCAGCAATGCAGGGGCAATGAGAAGATTCACCAGAGACAGAGCGGGGAGCAGGGCCGACTGATGAAGTACCCTGCTGAGGGGAACAATGAGTTGGTCAGGAGAGGCCCACCCAGGAGCCCCAGGAAGCAGGAACAGTCCTTCCAGAAGGAAGTAGAGTGGGAAGGAAGGGGTGTATGCACTACAGGAGAGCAGTAGGAGTGAACAGAGCAGGAACTAAGTCACTATCCTTAGGGGAATACACAAAGTCATGTATGTGAGAAGCAACTCTGTGTGTGGAGAGCATGACATGTGGCCAGCCAGACTTTCATGGTCTTGACTGATAGTACAGGGCTACTTGGTAGAAGAGGCATGGAGAACACATCCAGTTTCTTGGACTGGAATTTGGAAGATGAGAATTGGAAGTGTTACAGAATCTGCTAGGTGAGGGTGAGTGGACGCCAGCAGAACTAGTGGCAGAAGCTAATTAGTCCTGGTTTTGGTTACTGTAGACTGTGTGAAGACTAGCCCATTTCACAGTAATACCCTTTTGCTGATGGGGGTGGGGAGAGAGAGAGAACAATATATGGTCACTGGGCTCTCCATTTGTTTCATTGCTCTATGTACCTGATTTTATGCTCATAAATTTGCTCTGCTCATAAAGACTTGTCATATAGTTTGAAATCAGAAAACCTGATGCCCTCAACTTTTTCTTTTCTATTTCTTTGACTATTCTGGTTCTTTTCTGGATCCATATCAATTTTAGGATATTTTGTTCTATTTTTATGAAAAAGGACAGTGAGATTTTGATAGGGGTTCCATTTAATCTGTAGATTTTTGTAGTGTGGAATGGACATTTCACAATATTAATTCTTTCAAATTGTGAGCAAAGGAGTGATAACAGGATCTCAAGTACGTATCTGGTGAAGCATCTTAGGTGGATGAACTAGTGTTTTGCCAGTGAGGAATGGGCTTCCTGAGAAGTCTCTTTGGGCTGATTGTGAAACTAATTGTCCCTGGCTCAGGGACATTGACTTTTAAGAGTGAAGGCAGACGACAGTGAAGTTAATATTATTAGCTCATGTGATAGTGCAAGGACAGAGGGAGGTGTCTTTTGGAGCAAGGGACACACATTTGCTTCACAGTGTAAACAGCTGTATCCACTGCCTCCATTGCATAGAAGGTGGTATAAACTTAGCAATGAGTTATTAAACTAATGGGTGAGTATTTAATCAGGAGTATTATTCAGGTATAAGTCTGTTCAAGAAAACGTCCTGAAGCCATCTCTGGGTCAATATATTTTTTTGGGTAATGGAGACATTCAGTGTGAGTCAGGTGAGTGTTACTTTTGAGAACCACAATAAACAATCAATACAAAGGCTACTTGTGACAGCAAGTAATAATGTGTTCATAGAGAGGAATTTACAAGATGAAAAGGAAGCAGAAAAGAGAAGATCAAACAACAGGGTACAGAAGACAAAACCTCGGAAAGTCCTTGGGGAGAACGACATCAAGAAGGAAAGCTTACTCCCCAAGGCTGGGAATTTATTACTCCATTCATTTGCTGCTCACATTTGAAAAATGGAGCAGAGGAGAGCTAGCTCCTGCATCCAGAGCACTTCATTTCTGGCCAAATCTTTTGTCCTTATACTACATTTTTTTTTTCACTCTCTTCATAAAAGTATGTATCTATGCATAAAATGAAAATAGCAATCATCTTCCTATTTATAATGTTTTACTGCTGGAAACTTCAAAGAATATAAATAAATGCTTGTATTCCTGTCACCTATTTTGATAGTCATTTTTTTTCTATATTGTTCTTTCTTTCTTCCCATTCCCTGTCATTTTTACACATCAACACACACACACACACACACACACTTTGTTGACTTGAAAGTGAATTGTAAATATTATGCCTCTTATCAATAAATATTACATATGCACCTTCTGAAAAGTGTATCCTCCTGCTAGTAATAAAACCATTTCATGTGAGTAAATTATACCAACATAATAATTTCATAAATATACAAAATCCAAATTTCACCCCAAAATGCTATTATTTGGGTATATGTCCTTTTAAATATCTTTTAATCTATATTAATTTCCCTGATTTAGTTTTACAACTTTGTGTTTAAAAAATGATTCCAGGCTACAAGCATTGTGTGTACTTATGTGTGTGTGTTTGTGGCTTCACATTTTGAGATTTTTCTATTACTTCATTGACAGATTCAGGTTGAATGTTTTGTTTTTTTTTTTAAATTAAATTGTTTATATGTATTTTACATTATTGTTCATCTTTAAACAAAATTTGCATCCTCCTCCCCCATAGTACCCTTAGAATTTCCTCCCTGAATTTTTCTGTGGACTGTCACCTCAGTCCTTCCTCCCTCTCACCTACAGGATGTCCTTGGTTTATAATTGTCTGTTTTTGTTTTGTATTATTATTTTTTCCCCTAATATCTTATTTGGTTCTCCCATATTCATCCTAAAAATGAGACCTTCCCAGATAGGATGTTTTTGGTAGAATTTTACATATGTGATGTGTCCTTATAAGAAGGCAACTAAAAGTCTGATTGTTCCATTATTAGCTAAGTTAAATTTAATCACATGCATAAGATAGTAATTGCCATTTGTTTTATCATTAAAGTGCCTTTTCCTTTTCTTTCTTGGTAAGTGAACTGTGCAGTGATAATTTTGGTGAATACTCTGCTTTTCAAAAATTATTAGAGATATTTGGATTAATCTTAATGGTATGAACTTCTAAAAGATAATTTTATAAGTTTCTCAGTAATTTAGTATTTACTACACTGAATTGTTTTACAAAGAAGAGGATTTTTCTTCTATTCTCTGTTTTCAATATCACTAAGAAATCACACTTAATGAAGTATTGACAGGTGTTGGTTTCTAATAATGTATGGCTAATGCCTGAAAAAACAATAAAATTCAGAATTTTGCAAAAATAAAAACAAATAAGAGTAAAAAAAGGAAAATTTTCATAAATTTTAAAAAATAATTAAGTTTATTTCATTGCTATGAAATTATCTTTAATATTCTGGTGACCTACCTTTGGTTACAGAAGCCATTTTGTGTTTGTGTATATGACTCTGTTTATGTTCTTTGCAGCTCTAGGCATAGGCTATCCAGTGTCACTTTGCACTTTCTCTGTTTTGAATCTGGAATTTGTAATTGTTCCAAGGACACCAAGTTAGTTGTGGTAGGGAATGTTATTTAAAACCTGTAGGTAGGTGTGGACTCTGTACACTGCTATTGGTGTTTCTGTTTTCTGGCACATTCAGAGAACAAATGAGTAATGCAGAGACACAACTTTTAAAAATAAAAATACAATTTCTTAATATTGATGACACTGACTTAATTTTAACCTCCATTCTTTTCTTCTTAGATTTTAACACAACCTCCTCCTAGCTTCCTTCATTTCTTTCACTTTCACCATTCTAACATGCACTAGCTCTTAAGTCTGTGCAAAGGCTTACAATGCAATAACCATTCTGTGATTGACTTTGTTTTAAACAAAGAATGAAGACCAAATGTTTAAGTCACTTCTCAAAGGCCCCAGAAAGACTCACCACTGTCCAGCAATTCCTGCTTGTGTAGTTCTCACAAAAACACACTCAGATTAGAATTCCACCAGATTAGTCACCTTTTCAGAAACACAGCAATTTATTCTAACTTCATATTTGTGCTTTTTTTTTAAATTCTTGTTCTCATTATTAGTTTGCAAGAAATGTCTCACTTTCCTACTTATCTTTCAGTCTCCTTAACTGACTCGTTCCTCACCTTTTAGTGTCAATGCTGTGACCCTCTTCTAGCTTCTTATAAGAAGCTGGTGTACCTATCATAGCCCCATTACTGTTAAAGTTGTGTCTTTAGAGACCTATGTTATCCAATGCAGGTAAGATACCATGTTTGGTTCATTTTACTATTTCAAGTAATGGGTACAGATTCTTGGACGAGGGGACACCGAACAAAATATTGGAAGTTAATGAGTGCAGAGAAGAATCCAGACTAAGGGTACTGTCTTACTTGTCATACTCTTGATATTGGTCTGTATCAGGTTCCTGAATTGGAGTTTTCTGGACACTGATGTGACTATTTGGTCATACTTGATCTCAGTTTCTGTGATAGACATTTTTCATTTTCATCACCCTTGTTTTTTCTTCCTCAGTACTCTGAACATGGCCTCCCTGATGGGCTTGGATTTCACACTGTAGATGATGGGATTGAGCACAGGGGGCACCACCAAGTACACATAGGCAACTACGGCATGAACAATAGGTGGCAGGTGCCTCCCAAAACGGTGGATCATGGACACACCTATGACGGGGATGTAGAAAACAAGAACAGCTAAGATATGAGACACACATGTGTTGAGGGCCCGGATACGTTCCCTGGGAGAGGCCAGACCCACCACTGTATGAAGAATAAGGGTGTAGGACAAGACAATAAGCAAAGAGTCTACACCCACCGTGGAAAGTACCACATAGAGCCCATAAAGGATGTTGACAGTAATGTCATCACAGGCTTGCTTCATGACATCTGCATGGAAACAGAATGAGTGGGACAGGAGGATCTTGCCAGGGCAAAAATTTAGTCGTTTCAGCAAGAAGGGTCCAGGAAAGAGGGACACAGTTGCTCGAGCCACAATGGCCAGCCCAATTCTGATGATGACACTATTTGTGAGAATAGTTGCATAACGCAGGGGGTTGGAGATGGCCACAAAGCGGTCAAAGGACATGGCTAACAGTACTGAGGACTCCACCACAGAAAATGAGTGAAGGAAGAACATCTGAACCAGGCAGGCATTGAAACCAATGGGCTGATAATCAAACCAGAGCACACCCAAGGTTGTGGGTAGTGTGGACAAGGTACGGCCTACATCATTGAGGGCCAGCATAGACAGGAAGTAGTACATGGGCTGGTGTAAGCTGGAAGTTCTCTTTACAGCCAACATGATCAGGCAGTTTCCAGTGAGGGCCACGGTGTACATGGAGGAGAAGGGGATGGAGATCCAGCCATGTATTGCCTCCAGTCCTGGGATGCCAATCAACAGGAAAGCAGGTGGCTGGAAGAAGGAGATGTTGACATAGGTTTGGGAGGGAAGCATCCTCAAAGGTGGTTGAGGTGTTTGGAAGATGTGAGCTCTTCAATCTGGGCAGAAAATTAAGAAGACAAAATGAAATTTTAAGAAAAAATTCAGATCTGATGTCAGATGACTTGTTCAGAAAATACTGCAAATATCAAATGGGAGTGAAGCTTGAAAATCTATTCTAGCTAAAAGTAAAGGAGAGAATACATAAAATTAAATGTATTGATTGCTGAAGTGTCAATAATAACCTCACACATGGAAAGCAATGCTTTCTTTAAAAATTTGTGAAGAATAGCAAAACCAATACTGGGAAAAAAAGAAAAGAGGAAGCATCTTTTTTACTTTCCTTTAAAGTATACTATAAAGCAACAGTATCTCTTTAATTTTTTTAGTATTTTTAAAAAAGATTTATTTATTTATGCATACAGAACTGGGGTAAAGGCCAGAGGTGCAGGGGTGGTGAGAGGATCTAGAACAGGCCAACTGATGAAGTAGATTGCTGAGGGGAGCAGCAGGCAGGTCAGGAGAGGTCTGCCTGCATGTGGATCACCTCTGGGGTGGGCTGGGATGGAATTCATACAGAAGTGGCTCTAGCTTCTTAGAACTGTGCTTTAACTCGCTGCACCACCAGTGAGGGCCCTTTCTTAGTATTTTTAAAAAATACATTCATTATATCATCCTTCATTTTTGTACAGTGTATGGTTTTCCAGTGAAATTCCCATCTCCAATTACCCTGTGCACCATCACCATAGTCCCTTGTGCTCTTCCCATCCCTGTCCTGGTTCTTCTCTCCTCCTCCCCAACACAATATCTCTGATCTATAGTTGCCTGATGGTTTTGATTTTTACTTATGATAGTTAACCCCATCCTCCGCCCGATTCCTTATTTGATTCCTCTACATTCTTTCTATGAGGCCATTTGATATTTTTCTTTTTCTTTCTGGTTTATTTCACTGAGCATAATCCCTTCCAGCCCCATCCATGTAAATAACAGTATTTAAAACAATAAACTACTGGTGAAAAAATAGACATATGGATCAATGGAAAAGAATCAAAGGTCAGAAAAAAATACACATATATATCAGTGCTTAATTCATGATAAAGGAGCCAGGACCATAGAGTGGAAAGAAGATTTAACAGATGGCTTTAGGAAAGTTGGATGACCACAGGTAAAAGAATAAAGTTGAATCACTCCCTAACTCCATCCACGAGAATAGATTCAAAGTGCATCAAAGACTTGAATATAAGAGCTGCAATAATAAAATAAAGAAAACTTCATGATTCATTCATCACATCAATAATAAAGATGTTTTTGGAGAATATACCCTTATCACAGGAAAAGTAAAAGCAAAAAGAAACAATTAAGATGACCTCAAATTAAAAAGATTTTATACTGCGAAAGAAAATATAACTAGATTAAAAAGATTTGACTGAATGAGAGAAAATATTTGTACATTGAACAATGACAAAGGGTTAATATCTGAGATATATTAAAAGCATATACTTTTAACAATTAAAAACAAAGAACCCCATTAGTAAATGGGTGTCAAAGCCAAACACATACTTTATCAAAGAGAATACATAGAAGGTCAATATGTACGTGAAAAAAATATTCACCACCACTTTTGATAAGAGATGCCAGTGAAAACCACAATGAGGTATCACCTCACACATGTGAGAATGGGGCATGTTAAAAAGACCCCCAACAGTAAGAGTTAGAGTGAATGAGTCAAAAGTGTAAACCTATTTCATGGTTTGTGGGAATTTAAAGTGACACAGCCATTTTGGACTTAATTTAAAGAACTAAAAATGGGAATACCACAACATACAGCAATGTCACTCTTGAGAATCTATCCAAAGATATGATACTATCAACTCAAGAAAATTACATATTCTCTACACTATTTATTGCAGTATTTTATACAATTGCTAGGACCTGGAAACAATGAAAGTGCCCATTAATTGAGGATTAGGTGAAGACAATGTGTTATATTTACCAAACAGAATACTACTCAGTCATAAGGAAAGATGAGATGTTGCCATTTGCAGCAAAATGGAAGGAGTTCTCCAGGGTTCATGTGTAATAAAGCAAGTAAGAATGATAAAGGCAAATATTGAATATCTGTGTAGTAGTTGATTGATCAAACAGAAGACACAAAAACTAGCAGAATATGAGGTTAAGAAGGTAAGACTGTGGGAAGAAATAGAAAATAGAAAAAGAAAGTAGGTGAGATGATATCCAGAGTCTAATCAAAACCACTCTATTTCTAACAAGAAATGGTTATCTCATAGAAAGAAATTGTAAACATGCTATAGAGGCTTGAAGGATTGTTACCTGTGTTTGTTAATTTCTTTCCTTTGATTCACTTTAAAATCTACACCAGCCCGGGCCCTCCCTGGTGGCACAGTGGGTTAAAGCACAGCACTAAGGAGCCACTTCAGCATGAGTTTGATCCCCACCAGCCCCACTTCATTCACAGAGTTCTAATAATCTGGTTTGTTCTGTACTTCAAGATGGCCACCATGAAGACCCTGGTGTGTTAAGCATTTCAGATGAGTATGATAAGGAATTCCTTCTGGAGAAATGCCAGTCTGGCCATGGTCAAGGACAGCTGAGTGTAGAACTCAGATTGTGCTCAGTGCACAGATGATATCAGAATGCCAGGTGGGAAGATATTTGGAAACACCACACATCTCTTGAGATAGTGTGAGGAAATTATGGTCTCAGATTCCAGCTCACCTCTGAGATGTAAACTCAGTGGACCTCAAGAAGGCAACTCATTCTGACCTTCTTCAAGCAGGTGGTGGGACTACTCTCCCTTATTATACAGGAATGATTATTTTTACTTCTTTGCATTATTTCCAGAAGTTTCCCATTGATATCTCCATCTGGGGCTGAAGAGCTGGCAGCTCCTCATCTGGGGAGGGGGTGAGTGGAGTAGGGAGCCCCAGGCTACTCACCCAGACTGTCGTTCCGGGCTGCACTGCTGTTTCACGTCCTGCAGGAGCCCAGGAAATTTTGTGGCAGAGAGACGGAGTTTTATCTCACTGCTCAGAGAAGCCTTGGCAACAGTACCAGTCTCTAGGGATGACTCAGCTTAGGCCACAAAACAACAGAGCCACTCAGGTTCCTAGGGAATGGGAAAATGGGGCTTACTTTGGAATTTAGGGAACTATGTAGAGGAATTAAGCAATAAGGAGAAAAGGAAGACAGAATCATTGATCTTATAATATCCTACCAAGTTTTAAATGCTGTATTTAGAGACTGTCATCTTCAACAGTACATCTTAGTTTGAAATTGATGGATAATATTCATGAAGACTCCTCTTAGCCATGTCCTAGGATGGGTCCTGCAGAAGGGTGGGGATATGGAGTGGTGTGCTGGGAATCTAGAAATGTTGGCCTCACCCAGCCTGAGGGAGTCAGGAGAGGCTTCCTAGAGGAAGTGGAGAGGGAGCAAACTTCTGAAAGCTCTACTAAGCAATCAGTTCTCATTCTGAGGCAGGAATTAAGACTCTAGGCTTGAACTTCCATGTTGAGCTGGCACAGAATGTCCACATTCCTTTCTTGGGATTGACCTGCTGAATTAAAACTTCAGAAGGAAGAATTTGGATAGTGGAAAGAACGTGAACCACAGAAGTCGTTGAGACCTGAGTTGGAATTCTGTTTCTAATCACATTGATGCTCCAACTTTCTCACTTTCCAGAGAGCTCCACTTCAAAGTAGTTCTGGCTTCATCTCCTCACTAAGTCACTTTGGGCTATGGACATTCACTGGGGGTTGCTTTTTGTGGACACATTTGACTTTTTCTGTGCCCATCCACCCTTTTTTCCTTGCTCTTGAGTTCTATGCATTTTTTTTGCATACTTTGAATATTAAACCCTTTCTAGGTATATGGTTTGAAAATAATTGCTGGTGTTCCATTGATTGCCTTTTCAGATTGTAGATGGCATCTTTCCTCTTTGTGCAGAAACTTATTTGCTTGATACAGTTCTATTTGTTTATTTCACTTTCATTGTCAAATCCAAAGAATTATTGACAACTTCAATATCATAGATTCTACCTACTAAGTTTTCTTCTAGGAGTTTGATGGTTTCAGGTCTTATATTCAAGTTTTTAATAAATTTTAAATTGATTTGGTAGAATTCACTGGTGAAACCAGTGGCCATATTAATTTTCATTCATTTTAAAGTATATTTTATTTTCTCGGAGACTTTTTTTTTTACTATCTCGAACTTGTTCAGGGAGTATTGTTTAGTTTCCAAGTTGTCTTTCTGTGATGCCATTGTAGTTGGAGAATATGCTTTGCCTGAGCTGGTTCTTTTAAGTGGTTTCCATTAACACACTGGGAGGAGGGTTTTTCATTATATAGTGGAAATGGGAATTTTTTTCCATGTGGTCTATAACAACATGGTTGGGGTTTGTCTTGATGGCTGAGTGACAGCAAATATCCTGACTTACCACTGAGTGTCTTTTGACTTCATCTAGGAATGTGAAGGGATGTGACCTCATAATGCAGGATGAGAGTTGAAGTACAGAAACTTCATGAGGTTTTCATGGACACCATGGGGAGGAAGCTTCCTCATCACTGGTTGGCAGATATGAAAAATCTACTGCCTTCTTGATCTTCTCTAACACTTCCCTGTAGAAGGTGTTGAGTGTCTTATTATATAGCGTGGGATGTTGGAAGTCCAGGCTTTCCACTCAATTTGCTGGCATGTGACAGGAGTTGGATTACAGTTCTTTTGGAGGAGTATGCTTGTAGTAAAGTGGTTGCTGTATTAAAGAATGCCTATGAGGATGTCTTCTGCTTTTATAGTCTATTGACTATAGAGAGCAGACTTTATAAGGTTTTTATTATCTGTGTTTGTTAGCTTTTCTGGGTTTAGCAACATTCTGGAATATATGAAATAAAAAGACCCAAGGAACTCACCATTGTGTTGCTTTTCATGTTCCTATCCAGTCAGCCTCTGGCACCTTTCTGAAACTTCTTGTTTGTTATATACATAACATATCCAG